CATCTTGAATTTCTGGCAGTTTCCTGTTAATATACAGCTCATGACATTTTTCAAAGATTTTAACCCAGATTTAAATTTTATGTGATACTAATGATACTGTTCAAGAATTTGCTAATTCTGTTAGATCTCCATTGTTTGGAATGGGCACAAATATGTATCTTTTCTCATCAGCTGGTCAGGTTTCTGTCTTAAAAATTTCTTGATATATGTAAAAGAATTCTTCCAGCATTGCATACGGTTGTTGAAACTTCTCAATTGGTGGTCTGTCAGTTCCTTAAGCCTTGTTTTTTGCATATAGTTTTAGCACAGCTTGAACTTTTTTCTTCAATACTATTGATTCTTGACCATATGCTACTACCTGAAATGATTGAATGGCAACCAATTATTTTTAGTGCAGTTAATCTATGCATTCCTTTCACCAATATTTTGTTCATAAAATGTTTCACTATTGCAACTTAAGTCTTGAATTTTTTCTTCAGTTCTTTTTTTTAAATTTTTTTTTATTTTTTTAATTTTTGTGTGAGTGTACCGTCAAATCAGATCTGACTGGTACAGGAGGGGATCGTCCCTCCTTTTCCCGGCAGAGCATCTGGTGGATTCGAACCGTGAGCCTCTGGGATTGTAGTTGCAGCTTCTTGCCACTAGGCCACCAGAGCTCCCCTTTCTTCAGTTCTTTTAATCTGAGAAATATGGAGTGTATTCTCTTAGTTTTGTAAGTCATATATTTTCTATCATTTTTTTCTTCACTTTTTAAAATTTGAGGAATATTGAGTGTATTCTCTTAGATTTGTAAGTCATTGTCTATTTTCTGTCTATCCATTTTCATTGTTTAGAAATAACCAATAGTTTCAGTGTTGTCCTCGCCCTTGACACATGTGTCTGGACCCACCCATTTCCCTGCTCCACCAGCATTCTCTTCTGTTCCCACCTACTCCCTTCAACACCTATCTCCTACTATCCACCCCTTGATATGATAGCTTATATCTCAAGCTTTCTGGGCTTCTTTGATTCCAAACACTTCAAGCTGCTGTGTGTTTCTTATGCTGTGGCCAGTGTCTCTTGAGTTTAAGAGTCTGTAAGTCTGAATACAAGGTATTAATGTTAGGGAATCCTTTCTACCTCATGGTTCAGAGGAAAAGTCCTTTCCCTTGAGTTTTTGCTCCTGGTTTGGCTTCTTGTGGCTTAGGGCCGCTTCTTCTCCATTTGCAGCACACTGTAGTCACAGTGTTTTTGAAGGCAGGGTAATGTGTCCCATAGATCTTATAGATAGTGTTGTTTTCTTGCCCAAGGGCCTGTGGCCCAAAAAATTGCAGATTCCGCCTTGATCTGCAGGCTTCTGGGGTACACATACCATTTTTGGTGGTGGTGGTAGTAAGCTGAGTCCTTGCCACTTGTGCCCTGCTTTCCCTCCTGAACCTCCTCTTCCACGCCTGGTGATGAGATTGAGATTGTAAACAGCTTTAGTTTGCTTGACTCCACAACCAACACTCTTGGCACCAGCAGCCAGGAAATGAAAAGACATATTGTGATGGGAAAGTTGACTGTTAGGGACCTCTCTAAAGTACTCAGGCGCAAAGGTGTCTCTCTGGAGACTAAGGTGCATCTGATACAGGCCATGGTCTTTGCAGTCACTTCCTATGTGTAGGAGAGCTGGACAATGACTAGGGATGATAGAAGGAGAATTGATGCCTTTGAGCTGTGGTGTTGGAGAAGAGTATTGAATGTACCATAGACAGCTACGAGAATGAACAGGTTCAACCTGGAGAGGGTTAAACCAGGCTGCTTCTTGGAGGCAAGGATTCTGAAGCTTCGTCTGACATACTTTGGAAATGTTGCAAGGAGGGACCAGTCCTTGAAGAGGGACATCATGTTTGGGTGGGTGGAGGGACAGCGCAGGAGAGGAAGACCCTCGAAGAGATGGATTGATTCAGTGACTGGGATACTGGGGGAAGATGTGTCAGAGACAGTAAGACTGACACAGGATAGAGCAGGGTTTAGGGTGTTGTACATAGGGTTGCTATGAGTCCCAGATGACTTGACGGCACATAACAACAACTATCCATCAAAAGCTTCCATTCAACTTTTTTTTTTCATCTCTTCCATTTGTTTTGGTGACTCAGTGTTCCAAAGTAAGAGTAATTGTAGAACAAGATTATCAATAATGTCATTAAATTTATCATAATTTTTCTGCTTTTTAAAATATCCATGAAATTTTATTGAAAGTAAGGATGGTATAAATTACTGGGTTTTATATATCATTACTGATATAAAATTAAACTTTAAGAATTGATACTTAATTTTTCTAATTTAGGTTCCTACTTTAGAACCAGAAGATTCTATGCAGAAAATATAGATCAATCAAAATTTACTTTTGGTGCAAGCTCATCTTCTGTACAAGACACTAATTATCCTCAAATACTGAAAACTCCATTGTCTGCTGGGAACCCCCAGAGATCAGGTTGTAGAAGCTGGACACCTCAAATGGGATATTCAGGTAAAATGAATAATAGATTGACCCACATAATATAATACCCTGTTGGAGAAGTTTTTGGATGTGTGTAATCTTTTGTGATTCTAAATGTTTTGTAGGGAACTCTGATGGCATAGTCTGCAGGGAGATGTTGTATTGCAAATCCTAAAGATTTAGGCATCTCCCTGGGGATTAGAATCTACCAGCAGCTCTGAGAGAGAAAGATGGATTATTTTCCTCTTTCCTCTTAGGGGATTTACAACCTCAGAAAACTTGCTGGAGGATCAGTTAAGAGTTGGTTCCAGTAATGAGTGAAACATGTTGTAAATGGTAAATTGTTGGTAGGTGCTACTGAGTCAAGTACAACTCATAGTGATCCTCTAGACAGCAGTTCTGAACTCTGTTCTATCTGATGCCATCCTCACAATCTCTGATCTACTTGATCCCATTGCTGCTGTTACTGTGTCACTCCTTCTGGTTGAGGGTCTTCCTCTCTTTTATCAGTCCTCCACCTTTCCAAGCATAATGTCTCTTTCCAAGGAATAGCCCCTCCTAACAACATGCCCAACATATGTGAGATGAAGCTTTGTCATCTTTGGCTGCAACTTCTCCAAGACATATCTGTTTCTTTGACAGTCCATGGAATACTCAGCATTCTGGGTCTACCTTCTCCTAGATATATCTCTTTCTTTTCTGAGAAATAATATGTCTGGTTTTTCTGTCTTTTTAGTTTCTTTTCCTAGATTTACTGAAATTCCTTATATATGTGTGTATACTGAATACTAAATATTTTAATATTTTTAATGGCTTTGCCTAGCTTTTATTACTAAATGCATAAAATTAGTATTTATTGATAGGATTATTATTATAATTAAATGGGTTAATCTAAGTAAAGAGTTTAGAGTATTTCTTGTCATGTAATAGCATTTAATAGCATTTAATGTTTACTATTTTATAGTGTCAGAGACAGTGCGATTGGCACAGGACAGAGCGGAGTTTAGGGCTGTTGTACATAGGGTTGCTATGAGTTGCAGGCGACTCGACGCCACATAACAACAACAACAACAACAACAACAACAACATTTTATTATAATTTTTATCTTCACTTTACACAGATATCTCTTAGAGTTTATGGTTCATAATATCAATATTTCCTCATTTGATTTTCTCAGCTGGCTGTTTCATAAAGTAGATCAGTTACTACATTTTGTGGTGTATTGTTATTTTATGAAATGATTTGCCCAAAGTCAGATAGCTTTTAAATAGCAGAGTAAGATAAATAATCTAGGTTTTCTTCTCCCAAGTTCAAGGTTCCTATTATGATTCTATTCTAGTAAAAATGAGACTGTGTAATTTATTAATTTTAATGTCAGAGTTGAATTTGGTGAAATATTTTGACAGTTAATATTTTTACTCTGTCTAGGTAATGAAAAGAATTTTTTTACAGGTAAAAATAAGGTTATATTCTTGATTATTAATAGGCATGTCCTAGAGATGTACAGCTTAGAGTTTTATGGAACTAGAAATTATTACTATTAATATATTTTACATTTTCTTTATTTAAAAAATTTTAATAGCTACGTCCTCATCTGCAGTTTCTGCACACGCTCCATCAGTAATTGTAGCTGTTGTAGAAGGGAGAGGACTTGCCAGAGGCGAAATAGGAATGGCAAGTATTGATTTAAAAAACCCACAAATTATATTATCCCAGTTTGCCGACAACACAACATATGCAAAGGTAACTATTTATAATCCTAGGAAATTATTGATCTATTATGCATTATGCAAACTTGGAGTCAGTGCCTTCCTAATTAGGTTTGGGTTTTTTTTTTTTTTAGAATAAGTATTCTTTATCATTTCTCCAATATAGATTAAATGAAAATAAAGCTGTTTTACACCTGATTTTTAATTTTAAAATATATTCTGTCCTAAAATGAATATTTTTGCTACTACTTTCACAATCCCAATTTAATATTAGTTTTTGAAATTAATATTTTCAAATAAATAATTCCTGATCTCATTAGAAAAGTAATATTTCAAGCTACTTCTTTCCAATAAAATGAATGAAAATTTTCCTTTTCAGAGGTAAGAAAGCTGACAGATTTGCTTTAATTTAGTAATTTTATTTCTTGTCTGTCTTGCCTTTTTTTTCATATTACTCATCATTAATTGGGGCCACTGGCCTATCATCCTGGGAATTAAGCTACGGGGAGTTTTGTAGCTAGCCCAAAGATGACACTTCTCTGGTGGTTTGAATCCACCAGTTACTCAGAAGGAGAAAGATAAGTAATCTCCTCCTGTGCAGTTTACATGGACAGTGTCTCTGAAACCCACTGGAAGATCTAACTCCACAACAATGATTTTTATTTTTACCTGGTGAAATTAGTTTACTCTTACTCATTGATATTAAATTGGATCCAGCTCATGGCTGACCCTGCACTGGATTTCTAAGGCTGCGAATTGCACTGAAGAAAATTCCCTATTTTTTTAACTGAATGCTGATCTTTAAATATTAAAAATGTTACTTAACTCTTGAAATTTTTAAAAACAATATAGATATAAAATATTAAACTGTTATTTTTTAAAATTCTTTTTGTAAGTAAATAGATCTAATTAAGAATTAATTTTTAATATTTGTAACAACTTAAATGATGCTAGAACTATTTACTAAGGTAGCTCTGGTGGTTGAGTGGTAAGGAGTTGAGTTGCCAACGCAAACATAGTTCTAATCCACCAACTGCTTTGTGGGAGAAATAGCAGCATTCTCTTCCAGGATGATTTGCAGCCTTTGTAAACCTGCCACAGGTCAGCTGTGATTTGTTTCCGATTCGATGGCTCATGACAACATTCTTTACTAACTTCATTTCTGGCTATTTTACATTTTTAAAATGCAATTTAAAAAGACTATAAAACATTTAAAAATATTTTGTTAGGCTAGCTGATTAAAATATTTTGTATCTTGAGTAATAAAATTTGTATGTGAGGCACATGAAGCATAACGAATTTGCTTCTCAGTATTTCTGTACTCTCAAATTATATGCTATCTCTGGTATTACTATACTGATTGTATCACTAGTATCACTACAGCTTATTGAATTTTAAAAAAATTTTTAAATTTTAATAA